TCGCAACATTTTACATATACAGTCTGTAAAGTAAGAGCGTGTACGGCATAAACGGCAGTTGGCTTCAAATATCGTCCTAGCTTTTTTGTGAGCCGATAGATGAAATCTTTGTCGTGAATGCTTTGTCACAAAAGATTCAGTTGGCGTCGAACTCTAACACGAGAAATACGTTAACCGCCATGAGTGCCGCATACGCATCGCGCTACGAGGCTGTGTTCTTTTGTTCCCACCCCAAAGGTCCAAAAATATCATATGCAGTGGCTGCTAAATACATGGAAAAGTCAAAATCGTTCGTCGCTAAGTGGGTTCAGCAATATAAGAAGATCAAAAATATCGATGACTTACCAGAATATGGTTCGATAGGCAAAGTGACGCCGAATATGGAAAAAAAATTGTGAATTTGTTTAAGCGGAACCCGACCTTAATGCTTAAAATTTATGAGAAGTGTTTGTTGTCGACTGCTGAACGATGCTGAACGATGCTTCATAAAAAAAAAAACGAGGACTGGATCTTACAGGAAGACAACGACCCAAAACACCGGAGCAAGCTTTGCATCGAGTGGAGAGAGCAGTCCGGCATAGTCACACTTGATTGGCCATCGCAGTTACCAGATGCAATTCCCATTGAAAATGTATGGGCATATCTCAAGCACAAGCTTCGAGGAAAGAGTGTGCACTTTGAAGCAGCTGACATGACAAATTCGTCTCATTTGGAGGTCTTTACCGAACGAATAACGCAGTCAATTTAGTGGAAAGTATACCTCGGAGATATCAGGCAATTATCAATGCCGGTGGTAACTGGACTCATTATTAATGGTATAGCATTTTTCTTCTCATGGAGTACAACAAATCCATGTACTTAAAAATCATTAAAAATAAATTTTTCTACACATTAACCCGTACACGCTCTTACTTTAGAGACTGTATCTCGTAGCAGCTCACATCTCACAGCGTCGGACATTGTAAAAAGAAACATTAACTCTAAGACAGTCCAATCCATCTATACCATCGCCTGTTAGACGCAGGATTACATGGTCGACGACCTGTGAAGAAGCCATTTATTTCTGCAAAGAATCAGAAAGCGCTAGTAGATTGGTCCAAAGTACATCTTAACTAAACATCATGACAATGGTCTGACGTTCTCTGAAGCGACGAAAATCAATTAGTCTGTTTAGTGTCGGAAGTTTAGGTAGTGGCGGAATAAAACAAGTTCGTCGTCCTGAAGACAAACGCTTTGACTCCAAATACCAACTTTCTGCAATAAAGCATGGATGCTATTCAGTTATAGTGTGGGGTGCTTTCTCTGCAAAAGGAATGTGTCTCCTTCATAAAATGGATGGCATCATGGATTAAACAATGTATATAAACATCCTCCAAAATGTAATGCTTCCATATGCAAAATGTTTCCTTGGTAGCGATTTTATCTTCCAACAAGACAATGATCCGAAACATCGAGCAGTTAAAGTGCAGGAGTGGTTTTGACGCCATCGCATAACTCTCATGGATTGGCCAAGTCAATCCCCTGATATAAATATCATAGAATCGTTGTGGGAAGGACTGGAGAGACGTTTGGCAGGAAAGCGAGCTACGAATGAGGCCCAGAGATTCTCCCCACTTGAAGAATGGAAAAAAATCTCTCAAACTACAATTGATGCACTCATTGATTCCATGCCCAGACGTTGTCAAGCTGTAATCGATGCAAAAAATTTTGCTACGAAATATTAGAGAAATACTATTTCATTTAAATTATGAATCTAGTGCACCTCTGTTTACATGGAATATAGGTTATTATGGAATATAGGCGTTATGGCTATTAAAGTTTACTATTCATTTTAACGTACTTTGGACATTTAAAATAAAGTTATTTTTTCACGAGTTATTGTTTATATTATTTGATTAAAAGTATTTTGTTCGGTAAGCTGTACCTGTTATTAAAATATATTATGACTTAATACATATATATACACTTTAAACTTTAAAGTTATGCTCAAACATCTTAAAGGTGATATATTTTTAGCCGGTACTGTAAATCATAACAAAAAACTAAGAACTGTAAAAGTGAAATGTGAGAGATATCGATATATCGTCGGATCTAGTACTTAAGAAAATCGGACATTTCATATTTAATAACCTAATATATAATATAATATTACCAATAAGTGTATAAAAGTGTATAAAAGTGGATAAAAGGAGAGAGAGGAAGAAAGAGGGAAAGAACAGGAGACAGTGGGATGAGGAAAGGAGAGAGAGATTTAGAAGGGAAATTGGAAAGATATAGGGAGGACAGGAAGGCATAGACGAGGAGGAGGTAGTGTATGACAGGATAAGGAAGGCCATGAGGAGCAGTGAGGAAGGGAGGGAAGGGGAGGGAGAGAATAGAAGAGGGTGGTAGGGCGAGGAATGCAGAAGGAAGAAAAGGGTGGTGAGAGGAGAGCTAAAAAGATGATGGAAAGGGGGGAGGGGAAACGGGGGGGAATACGGGGAAAGAAAGAAAGAACATAAAGGGCTATGTGATAGGAAGAAAAAAGAGAAGAGGGAGAGAATGGAGAAAGAAGTAGAAGGAGCTAGGACAGAAGGGAAAGTATGGGAAATTTTAAAGAAAGAAAGGAAGAGAGGAGGGATAGTAAACGAACAGACTGGAATGGAGGAGTAGAAGGACCATTTCATGGGACTACTAGGAGGAGTGGAGAGGAAGGTGATGAGAGGGGAAGCAGGAAGAAGGAAGAAAGATGGAGAGGAGGAATTAGGATGGGAGGAAGTGAAAAGGGATATAAAAGGAATGAAAGATGGAAAAGCGATGAGGAGGAACAGGATTCCAAATGAGGTATGGAGATATGGAGGAGTGGAGTTGTAAAGATGGGTGTGGGAGGTGTGCAAGAGGGTATGGAGGGGGGAGAGATGACCGGAGAATTGGAAGGATGGGTTATAGTCCCAGTGATTAAGAAAGGAAGAGGAGATAAGGTGACAGACTATAGGGGAGTGACACTAACGCCGTCGCTGTACAAAGTGTACGCGGTGGTATTGGCGGAAAGATTAAGGGAAGAAGTGGAGGAAAGAGAGCTGCTATCGGGAAGCCAAACGGGATTCAGGAAAGGGTTGGGGGCAACAGATCAGGCAACAGATCATGCTCTGACTATGTGATAAACAGGCAGTTTGTTGGGAAAGAAGGGAGGAAAGTTGACGGCAATATTTGTGGACTTAAAGGCCGCTTTTGACTCGGTGATAGGGAGAGGTTGATAGGAACAATGAAGGAGAGGGGAGTGAGGGAGAGACTGGTGGACAGAGTGGAAGAAATGCTGAGGGAAACAAAGAATAGAGTAAGGATAGGCAGGACAATGGGAGAAGAGTTTTGGACGGTAAAAGGCGTTAGAGAGGGATGCCCACTAAGCCCAATACTGTTTAACCTAATGTTAGCAGATTTAGAGGAGGAGATTTCGAAAGGGAGGTGGGAGAGTAAGGATAGGTGGAGAAAAGTGTACGCCTTATCCTATGCAAACGACATAGTGATGATGTCAGAGAAGGAGCAAGAGATGAAAGCGATGATAAGCAGGCTGGAAGGATACCTAGAAGGAAAGAGGCTGGAAATGAACACAAGGAAGACAAAGGTGATGAGATTCAGGAATGGAGGAGGAAGAAAAAAGAGGAGGGAGTGGAGGTGGAAAGGCAAGAAGTAAAGGAGTACAAATATTTGGCCTATGTGATGCAAAATAATGGGGGACAGGAGGCACAGGTAAGAGAAGGAAATAGGAAAGCGATGGTAGCGATGAGGAAGTGTGAGATATAGGTAAGAGGTTATGGGACAAGAACTGGGGAAGAAGGATATGGTTATACGATAAATTAGTGTGGACGGTAATGTCTCATTGGATATGGAGCGGAATTATGAGGGCGAAAAGAAAGGAAGGAAATAGAAGGGGCTCATGAAAGATATATAAGGTGGACGATGGGAGCGGATTGGAGTACGCCAGGCTATATGATAAGAGAAGAAGAGAGGGAGAGAGAAGATGAGGGGGAGAGCAGGAAAAATGGCATTTGGAAATGGAACTTTGAGAGAAGGTTGCAAGAAGGCAAGGGGAGGTGCCGAGAAGGTGCTGGAAGGAGATGAGAGAGAGATGGTGGGAGAGAGAAAGTAGTAGGAAAGTGGGAACAGGAGAGAAAGGAATTTATGAGAGAGAGGGAGATAGGAAAAGAAGAGTAGAGGATGATGGAGTATGAGACAATAGAAGAAAGAGACAGGGGAGCACAGAAGGAAGAAAGATGGGAAAAATAAGAGATTCCAGGTACAAATGGTACAGGTATATAAAGGGGAACGGGATACCGGCATATTTGAAAAAAATATGGGCAGAGAAGAAATGGAGAAAGGTGTTAATGTTTAGGATGGGCAATGTGATGAGGGAGGGAAGGTACTGGGAAGAATAAGAAAGGAGAATGTGTAGGATGTGTGGAGGGAGGGAAGAAACGTGGGAACATGTGTGGAAAGAGTGTACGAGATGGGGGGAAAGGGAAGGAGAGGGGTGGGGAAACGCGGTGGAGAGGATGCTGGGAGAGGAAGGGAAGGGGGAGGGATGGATGAGAGAGGTGGAGCTATGGAGAGAGGGAAAGGGAGGAAAGATGGAGGTGGAGGCGAGGGGAGGAAAGGATAAATGAAGGAATGAATAAGTGAATGAGGAGAGAGTATGAATGTGAGGAAACGGAGGTCAACGGTAAATTATAAGGTAGATTAAGCGATCGTAGTATATAAGTATGCGTAGTATAAGCGAATAGTTATAAGTAGTGATAAGATAGTGGTAAGATAGTTTTAAGAATAAGGGAGGGAGAGGGATGTGTGTGTGAGGAGGGGAGGAGTAGGCAGGAGCGTTAGTGGATAAGAAGGATGAGGTAGAAAACTAAAGGATAAGGAGAGTTATTGTAGAAAAAATTGTAATCCCGATGGGGAATCAATAAACTTTTACATATAATATAATATTAGCTTAAACTACAACTAAAACAGCATAATCTTTTCAGGTGGTAGCAGTAGTACTACTTCTATAACTTCTAATTCAACAATTGAAACCAAGCCTTCTTCGGCAATTTTGAACCCTTTATCAACGCAGTATAGTACAGGAGAATCGCCAGATTCAACAAAACGACGCAGTTGTATTTCTCTAGGAAATAATTCAAATAATAGCAAGTCAAGCAGTAATTTAACTAGTAGCACTAAAAGTGATCAAGGAAAACTTAATCAAAATTCAATTGTTAACTATCAGGTAATTAATATGTGACAATAATTGAATTGAATAATTGATACATTTGCTTTTATTTATGCATAAAATTAAAACCGTTACAAAATTTCATTCTGTTTCCAGTAAATTACAGTGTTATCATTTTAATTATTATAATATTGTTGTTATATATTTTAATCTTACAGAATAATAATTAGATACATTATATAGATTAGTTTATTGAGATCTCTGATATTAATTGATTTTTATAATTGCAGATACCATTATCTTTCACACAACAATTACAACAATGTTCAAGGGGAACAAAAAATAGGCCACTCAGCAAATTGTTGTCACCTTTAAAAAGCGAACCGCAGAGCCCTATATATGCTTCACCACCACATTCTCCATTAAGCGACAGTTTTATTCCTTACTCACCCACAAATAGAAGTTCACCAAGTATTCAACCAGTTGTCAACGTAATACAAAGTCAGTTATATGAATCGTTGTTGATGAAAAATTATAATATACCCCACAAAACACAAACAGAAAGATATAATAATTCGACGGTTATATATGAACCAATTAACATCAGACCTGTAGAAAAGCATAATGCTGCTAAACCATTTGATCTAACGAATGAAATATTAGGTTTAAGTATTGAAAAGAACAAACAAAGTAGACGCGATATTTCGAAAACTTTCGATAAAAGAAATTCAACCGATACACATTTCTCACGAGATACCCACATGAGAATAATATTAGGAAATAACGGAGCTGGTATTGGTAGAAATGTTAAATATACCTCAGACCATACACCCGGAAGGTAAATTAGTAACATTATATAACATAAAAGTTTGTATCACACTAATATTATAATTATAATTTTCTCATGAGACATACATTTAATAAATCTTTATTGTAATAATATATTAGTTGTCAAATTCAGACATCATATAAACAGCAATATTACAAACTGAAATATTTTTAAATAGATATTTACAATTGTAATTAATTATTTAATAAAGCAAGTACATCGATTATATAAACTTTCCATATCAAGAAACACAATAATATTTCATGTTAAGGCTCCTGATCCCTTTACTGAAAATGCTCTGCGTTGACAGTGGAGACGCAGTGGGACGCAATTTCAGCGGCAGAAATGAAAACCTTCTGCAGCGTATTCACTGCATAGTAAATCGAGTAGGTTCTGTTACGTGCTATGAGTGGCATAAGATAAAGGTAAATATTCACCTTTACACAGTCCGCGTGAAATGATCTCCGGTTGACCTTGATGTTAACCTTGACCCTTAAGGATGTCAAAGTCATAAACTTTTCCCGTCGCTCGTTCTTCATTAAAAAATTATTAACAAAAGAAGTTTTATAAATTGAACGTAATCTTTCTCTCTAAGCGAGAGCTTTTTCTTTATAGCTTTTTCCTTATAGCTCGCTCGCTCCTCGTCGTTCGCGCTCGCTCGCTCTTCGTCGCGCTCGCTCGCCTCTTGTCGCTTGCGCTCGCTCGCTCGCCTCTTGTCGCTTGCGCTCGCTCGCTCCTCGTCGTTCGTGCTCGCTCGCTCCTTGTCGCGCGCGTTCGCCTCTTATTGTTTACGTTGCCCCTCGCCGCGCGCGCTCGCCTACCGTTACTCGCTGACTCCGCCTGTATCAAATGTCTACGTGCTTACTGCGGTCGCCCTCCGCTCTCTACGCGCTCGTTGGCTCACATGTTTTAATTAATAACTCGATAACTATTGGCAATTTGACATTATGGTACATAACTTTTCTTCTCGGCTACACCCAATCTATCTCCAACTTTCATCTGCATGATCAGCTATCAAACACCCTGTATGCGCGGGGGAGGGGCTCCGCCCTACCCCGGTTGGGGCCGGGCCCGCTCCCCTACAAATCCTCCCCTCCCTGACTAGCAGGGAGGGGGGGGTAAGGAGGGAGGGCGGATGTCCTCTCCCTCCTTGACAGGAGACACTAGAAGGCCAACCGGCGGGGGGTAACCCTCGTCGGGGACCGTGCCTGGATTCCCTTCGTGGAACAGGGCGCGGTACACAGATGGCGAGGGGCTCCCGGAAGGGAGCCCTGGGGCCGGGGGGTTGGGGAGGGAATACGGGAGTAGTTCCCCCGACTCCCCTCCTCACGGTCCGACAGGTAGACATCCCGCAGGGGTTTTAGTCGGTAAGAGTCCGACATAACCCCCTTCCCCCCCAAGGGGAGGGGGTATCCATGATGGATTTCCCCTGCGTGACCAAAAAAAAAAAGGGGGGCTCCGCCCCTCTTCCGCACCCCCTCCCCAAAAAACTAACCCTAACCTAACCTAACCTATCTATTGAAATATGGTAAATTATACATTCTTATGTTGTTTTTTCTTTAGGTTAGGTTAGGGTTAATTTTTTAGGGCAGGGGGTGCGGGAGGAGGGGCGGAGCCTCTCCCCCAGCGCATATACGTATACTTTTTCGTGTGTATACACACTGCATGTATGTATGTATGATACAAGATATGTATATGTATAATAAGTTAAATAAATATGTATAAAGTTTAAAGTCTTTATCACTGTTTTTCTCAGAAGTTATTACTTCTATAGTAAAAATGTATAAAACATAAAGTCTATATTTTGAAGAGACTTACAATTTTTACTTGAAATATTTTTTGAAATTTCCAGTATTTGATAAAATAATTGACAAAAATATTAATTTTTAATTTTTGTTAATAATTTTTTAATGAAGAACGAGCGACGGGAAAAGTTTATGACTTTGACATCCTTAAGGGTCAAGGTTAACATCAAGGTCAACCGGAGGTCATACCATTTCACGCGGGCTGTGTAAAGGTGAATATTTACCAAGATAAAATATAGGGAAGTACTTGTATAAACAAAGGATGACGTCTGATGACTGAATTTTAATGGACAGTGAATCTGTGTTTGTTTTGGTCTCACTATCAGATAGTTGACAATCGCGGCTGCTGGCACAGGCCAACGGTTATCTTATCTCTTATGATTCACCTTTTATGTGTCTTTCCTTTCACACAATGTCTTTACGGGCCCGCATATATTATTGTAACCTTTTTGCTATTTTGTGTTATGCGATATGTAAGCCAATTTTACAAAAAGATAACATAATATAACATAATGTTAGACATTATATTACATTTATCATTGCATGTTGCCGTAGGATTAGCTTACATGTGGCATAACGCAAGGTCAATAATATACGCTACGACAATAGGTGTACTGTGGTCCTTAGCTGGAGATAGAAAAATATTTGGAAGCTTGGGATGACTCGTAGCAATGACGCAGCGAAGCCAACGGGCTCCCACTCTTAACAAATTTCAATATGGTTATATACGTATACGCATATGTATACAATTTATACATGATAATTGTACGCGTCTATTCTTACATTATGTACAATAATAAAAGATAACATATTAGTAAATATGATAAAAGAAAACATGTCAACAACCATGACTGAAAGATTTATAATTTTTTGTTTTTGCACTTACAAAAGATCTCAAATATAAATTATTTATTTAGTTTCGATAAGTATCTTTTACATATTTTATCGACCAATGTGTAAAGTAATACTATAGGTTACTCAATGTTGCGGGTTGAATCCGAATCGTTAACCTGTTGAACGCCGGGATCACCCAGACCTTGGGCGCGAGAGCGAGTGCGGCTGTTGACGACGAGAGTCAGCCAAAGGAGAGGACCGATCTGTTCTCGGGGCAATAACTTGCTTGAGTCGCCGATTTCGATGCGTTTTATTTGCTTTGACCCGGTACAGCGGCTTGCAGATCGCGGACAATGAAGCTGCGCCTCAATAACGAGACGGCGAAAAGTAATCACACACCGAAGCGACGCGTTGTAGAGATTCGACGATAGCCGAGCGGAACTTGAGAGAATTGAGTTCGAAAGCCGGATTCTACTGAACTCTATTGTCATGATATCGATCGTGATATTTATAATTTTATATCTCTGATGCGGCTCAAGCCGATTGGCAGATTTGTACAAATCGTTGTTTGGCTGACACAAAGATCTTAACGGTAAATACATTGTTTTGCCGTTAGTCACGAGACATTAGGCTATCGCAAGTTTCTTCTGATGGAAAGAGTGTTATTGTCACCGACACAATGAGACAGTGTAACGCGCCGAGACAATACCAAGCGGCAAGACAAACATCGAGCAAATAATTCGCTTGTAAACATGGGTAATTTGTCCGAGCAGTGACTCGATGTTACCGGCGTCCAGCACACGCTCCGCGAGAATCCGCTGGACGATTTTAATGAGCACGCAGAACCGCCGATATGATTTTCCAATTCGGAACATGCCGCCCGCCTTGAAATAGTAGTTTCAAAAGACTGCTTAGTTTGAGCCGAAAGAAAATAATAGCGCGTGAAGCAATAATAAAATGTACTCACGGGTCAGCGCAACTAGCTCTGGCCGCCTTGAAACGGAGCAAAAACAAAACAAAATAAGCGAAAGCATCTTTTTAAAGTAACGCAGCTTACAACTAACGCACGTTACCACGAACGCAACTTATAACTAACGCATTTTACCACGAACGTAACTTATAAATAACGCATTTTGCATAGAACGCTAAACGAATGCAATAACCAATTAAGTAGGTAAATCGAGACGAAACTTAAATATAACGAGACGGGTCACTGAGCCTTCGCATCGCAATCAACCGGCAACACGCATAATTTTACTATCGGACGCTTATATTCCGAAACAGCGGTTCTAACGGTCACAACACGGGTCAAACCATCGGGACCAGGATGACACGCTGTGACTCGTGCTAACTCCCATTTGCAGGGAGGAAGCGAAGGATTGCGAATGAGAACGAGTTGATTTAATTTTATCGATGAAGTTGGGCGACGCCATTTACTTCTTTGTTGCAACGTGTTGACGTAATCGTTGTACCACAACTTCCAGAAACGTTCTGTTAACTGACGCACGAGTTGCCACTGGGTGAGGCGATTCTCGTTCACATCGAGAAGCGACGGCTCAGGATTGACAATATAGCTGATCCGATTAAAAAATGACCGGGAATCAGCGATTCATAATCGTCGAGTGAGTCGGTAAGAGGCGCTATCGGGCGCGAATTTAGGCAAGTCTCTACGCGACAGAGAACTGTGGTAAATTCCTCGAACGTCAACGTGTGGGTCCCCAGGACGCGACGCAAATGGTGCTTGACGCTGCGGACTCCTGCCTCCCACAGCCCGCCAAAATGCGGAGCTGACGGAGGGATAAAATGCCAGGAGATGTTATCGGTGGCTATTGCACTTTGGACGTTAGGATCGCGAATCGTGACACGATAGGCGCTCGTTAATTCTCGATCCGCACCGACGAATGTTGTTCCGTTATCCGAATAAATAGATTGAGGTAGCCCACGGCGCGAACAAAATCGTGAGAAAGCGCCGAGAAACGCCGGAGTTGAGTAATCCGCGACTAACTCAAGATGTATGGCACGAGTAGCCATACAAATAAACAGCGATGTAGGCTTTACGCGAAGCGATGCCGCGACCCGCAGAGGCCCGAAATGACACCGACCCGGCGTAATCGAGACCGCAATGCTGGAATGCGCGTTTTGGAGCGACTACACGAACCGAGGGAAGCGCGCCCATCAATTGGGACGGCGTCTCGGCTCGTTCGCGAGCGCATGTGACACACCGATGAATGACTGAGCGCACGATACTGCGAGCGCGAATTATCCAGAAGTCTCGGCGCAAACCACTCAACGTGAGTTGTAACCCGCCATGTAACGATCGTTGATGAGCATTGTCTATTATAAGGATAACAAGAGGATGTGCCGCAAGGAGAAGAGGATGTCGAGTAGGAGACGAAAGAAGCGAATTTCGCAGTCTTCCACCGACGCGAAGAAGTTGATCGGAATCAAGGAACGGGTACAAAGCAAGTATCGGACTCTTTGTAGGAAGACTCGTCCCGTCGCGCAGAGCACGTATTTCATCAGGAAAGAGTCGAAGCTGAAGTGCGCGGAGCCAAAACGTTCGGGCTGTCCAGCACTCGGCTGCCGTAAGGGCGAACCCATGAGGATCTTGAGCTGGCTCAACCCTACGTTGGCGGCAGCGAGTGACGAATCGAAATAGATATGCTGTGACTCGGAGAAGCTTCGGCCAAGAAGAAAATCTGCAAAATATTTTGAAGGGATCCTGCTGCGCAGCGAGGTGAACGTGAACTCTCTTTATTTCAAGGTCAAGATCCGCGGGAACTCAAGGGTTCCGCAATGGCCAGTCAGTCTCAGACGACTGCAGCCACGGCGGACCTCGCCACCAGAGCTCATGAACTAACAGCTCGTCACCGAGGAGTCCGCGGGAAACGCAATCGACAGGATTTTCGTCTGTCGGTACATGACGCCACTCTGTATCAGGCAGGCGTGTCTGCACATCGGCAGTCCGGTTGGCCACAAAAGTTTTCCATTTAGACGGCTGCTGCAGGAGCCAGGCCAGAACGATAATAGAATCCGTCCAACAAAAACACGGAACAGTCTCGTAACCAAGCGATCGCCGAACGAACTCCATTAAGCGCGCGAGCAAGACCGCAGCCGAGAGCTCCAACCGAGTCACACTTATAGTATGAAGCGGAGCAACTCTTGACTTGCCCGCTAGCAATAAAATAATTATTTCTCCAGAACATATTACGACCCTCGCATAAACGACTGCCGCGTAGGCCACGTTCGAGGCATCGGCGAAACCGTGAAGTTCGACTAGTTGGGAGTCCGTGCCGAGCCCAAACCAACGCGAGATTTGAAAATCATTGAGACATGAGAGGCGCGAAAAAATGATGTGCCAGCGTTCCTGTAATTTAACCGGGAGAGCTTCATCCCATGCGAGACCTTCCCGCCAAAGTTGCTGCATGAATACTTTTGCGGTAATAGTGATCGGAGTGACCCAACCGAGCGGGTCATAAATTTTAGCAATCGCCGCCAGAATAGCCCTTTTACTTTTCGGAACACGTCCTTCGAGAGACACCGTCACCTTGAAGTTATCTCGCGTCGGATCCCATCCGATGCCCAGAATCTTCAATTTCTCGTCAACCTGCAAGGACTTAATGCATGCCAAGCCATGCCCGTGAGCATCAATGTCAGCCAGAAGCTCCGATGAATTACTTGCCCACTTCCTAAGTTGGAAACCCCCACATTGGAACAACGCATCGAGCTGTCGACGTACCTGTAAGAGACGATCGCGGCTGCCGTCTCCGAATAATAGATCGTCGACGTAAATATTATTCCGCAGCAACGAAACAGCAAGAGGAAAGCGAGATCCCTCGTCCTCGACGAGTTGGCGAATTACGCGCAGCGCCAAAAAGGGAGCGCAAGCCATTCCGTAGGTAACCGTCAGTAATTGATAGTCAGTCCGGCGGTCAGTATTCCACAGAATGCGCTGATAATCAACATCTCGCTTGTCTACCCAAATTTGCCGATACATTTTAGCAATGTCAGCGCTGTACACGAATTTATGAATTCGCCACCGTAATATGACCGCGGGTAGGTCTGCTTGCAGCTTTGGCCCAGAAAGCAGATTATCATTCAAACTGCGACCCGTCGTCGTGCGGCTTGAGGCGATAAACACGACGCGTAAATGACTTATTTTACTGTCTGAGCGGTAAACAGGATGATGCGGTATGTAAACAGCGCGTGAGATGCTCGCAGCAGTGACCGGCGCTCGACGCAAGGCCAAGATGCTCGTATTCCGCTAAAAACGCAGAATATTCGGCAAATTGCGTGGGGTGAGCCTGCAAGCGACGCGTCAGCGAGTCCAGCTGGCGTGCCGCCTTGACTCTTGTATCTCCCATGGCGAGCGGAGGGCTCGTTTTGAACGGGAGACGAACGACATATCGGCCCTCGATTGTGCGAGAGTGCGTGGATCGGAAATGATCTTCGCACTGGATGTCCTCGATGCTAAGAACCGAGTGTTTAGGAAGTTCCCAAAATTGTTGAATTTCTTTAGCGAGAATGGACATGTCGCAACAGTGATGCACGGACACACTGAATGCATCTGTCGCCTCAACTGCACCGTCCGACGACAAAACGTGCTGCGCCGGTGCAGCTATAGGACCCGATAGGAACCATCCGAAAATCGAATTCTGCGCGGTGGGTTCGCCGAAACGGCCTTCACGACGTTCAGCGAGAGTAACGACGTTGTAAAGATCACAGCCGATGATGAGGTTAATAGGATCGGAACTAATGGGATTTGGATCTGCCCATGGTAAATCAACCAGATGTGGATAACCCGAAAGAGATTCAACGTGTTTCGGCGCGTAACGCGTAAGCCTCTCTAATATAGCGGCGCTTGTGTTATACGAGGGAGACATCGAGTCACGCGGCGAAACAGAGATATCCGTGGCATAACGAACTGTGGCCGCACAAACTCCGCCGACGGCCGACACCTGTACGGAAATGCGCCGTCGTTTCGCATGCAATAATTGCGCCAATTTCTCGGATACGAAGGTCATTTGTGAGCTCTGATCCAGGAGAGCTTGAATGACAACCGTTCGACCGCTCAATCCGATGACCCTTACCCAGGCTGTCGCCAACAGTACTTGCTTAAAAGACTGAACAATAGAAGAAGCGTGCAAGGATTGCACTTCGCATGGTGCTTCGACCGCCTGAGATGACAGTCCTGGATTCGGCTCCACTACTAGTCGATCTCCACCCGAATCCGCACCAGCGTGAAGCATGCTATGATGCCTTTGCAGACAAACCCGATAGGAATGCTTACTACTGCACTCGTTTACCGCGTGATTCGGACTCAGACAGTTATAACATCGCTGATACCGCTTCACGAGGTCACGTCGCCGGAAAACATTCCCGCGCACAAATGTCGGACAAGCACTGAAATAATGGCGCCCCTTACATATCGGGCATCCGCCGAATGCATGCGTGGATGCAGCAGCAACGTGAACTCGCGACGCAGGAGAAGACTTCACCGCCGCAACGTTCGACGAGTTGGCGGCGAAGTCCTCGAGAGCACGCGCGCGACTGGCAAGAAATAAGTTGAGGGCCTCAAACGTCGGCGGATCACTGCTCTCACTCATTCGAACATTCCAGGCCTTCCTGGTTACCGGATCCAATTTGTTATTGACAATATGTACGAGAATATCATTCCAGAGGTCTGCCGGAGAGCGATGTAAAGTATGCAAAGAAGCTACCGCGATGTTCACGTCATCATGAAGTGCTTGCAAATCGGATACAGACTCACGAGAAATCGTTTTGAGATTGAGCAACGCGGATAAATGTTTTGTGATCAGCCGCCGTTTGTTCTCATATCGAGCGAGTAGCGCCTGCCATGCCGCACCAAAATTATCGGCGGTAACCGGAATATTCCCGATACATTCGAGCGCATGACCTTTTACGCATGAAGTTAAATAATGCATCCGCGCGAAATCGTCTAAATCGCGATTACTGATTATGAGCGCGGTGAACCGATCTCGGAATTGCTCCCATTCTTCATAGCGGCCTTCGAATGGCGGCAAACGGATGGGAGGCAAATGTGGGAGTGATATCAAATCCTCACAAGACTGAGAAGAATCACAGGTGGCTCCAGTTCCTCCAAGCACTCGGTTAGAAAATCGTGCGCAGCCTCGAACACTTCCTCGGTACCGTCGCAGTAATGGTCGCGGAAGTAGTCGATCGTCCCTCGGGATGCTTCCGGCATGGCCTTGGTTAGGAGAGCGTGCCCGTCCAAGAATTGCGACCAAGTGTCCTTAAGGATTGTCAGCCTTGAGCGGACCTTTCCGGCCGTCAAATTGTTCTTGCCGATTTTCTTTATATAGTCGATCGTGCGATCGATCACGCGCTTCAACTGAAGCTGTTTTGTATGCAGTTCAGCCATCTTGATTGCCTATCACGTCGTTGTCACGCTCTCGATCCGGCTCGAAGGACCAAATGTTGCGGGTTGAATCCGAATCGTTAACCCGTTGAACGCCGGGATCACCCAGACCTTGGGCGCGAGAGCGAGTGCGGCTGTTGACGACGAGAGTCAGCCAAAGGAGAGTACCGATCTGTTCTCGGGGCAATAACTTGCTTGAGTCTCCGATTTCGATGCGTTTTATTTGCTTTGACCCGGTAAAGCGGCTTGCAGATCGCGGACAATGAAGCTGCGCCTCAATAACGAGACGGCGAAAAGTAATCACGCACCGAAGCGACGCGTTGTAGAGATTTGACGGTAGCCGAGCGGAACTTGAGAGAGTTCGAAAGCCGGATTCTACTGAACTCTATCGTCATGATATCGATTGTGATATTTATAATTTTATATCTCTGATGCGGCTCAAGCCGATTGGCAGATTTGTACAAATCGTTGTTTGACTGACACAAAGATCTTGACGGTAAATACATTGTTTTGCCGTTAGTCACGAGACATTAGGCTGTCGCAAGTTTCCTCTGATGGAAAGAGTGTTATTGTCACCGACACAATGAAACAGTGTAACGCGCCGAGACAATATCAGGCGGCAAGACAAAGATCGAGCAAATAATTCGCTTATAAACATGGATGATTTGTCTGAGCGGTGACTCGATGTTACCGGCGTCCAGCACACGCTCCGCGAGAATCCGCTGGACGATTTTAATGAGCACGCAGAACCGCCGATATGATTTTCCAATTCGGAACACTCAAGATTTGCAGAACGGAAATGCATAAAATAAAATGTAATGATATATAGTATCTGGTGAATATGGCGGGTGGGGTAAAATTTTCCAATTCAATCCTTTCAAGTATTTTCGGACCGGTTTTGCAACGTGAGGCTTATCATTGTCGTGTAGCAGAATCAGCTGTTGTGCCTATTATCCCATTTCAGTCGTTTCTCTTTTAAAGCTCGGTTCAAACGTACATATTAACTGCAGTCGGTAACGATTCTCAGTGATGGTTTCAGACGGTTTTAGAAGCTCATAATAAATAACACCTTTCTGATTCCACCAGATGCATAATATAACTTTCGAAGCATGGATATTCCGTTTTGGAGTTTATGGACCTGGTTCACCTGGCATCACTCATGATTTCAATCGTTTGGGGTTGTCGTAGTAGATCCATTTTTCATCGCCAGTGACAATGCGATGCAGAAAACCCTTCCTTTTTTGTCTTTGAAGCAGCATCTCGCACATCACCAAACGTCTTTCAATGTCTCTCTCTCCTTCAATTGATGGGGCACCCAATTTCCTGACTTTTGGCCCATTGCCAATGCATGTAAACGTTTTCCGATGGTAGATCTATCAACATTTAATTTGTTAGAAAAATCTTCGAGCGTTCGACTCGGGTTTTCTTCGAATAAATCTTGCAGTTGTACATCTTCGAATCTTTTAGATGCCCCTTCGCGTTCTCAGTCGCTCACGTCATAATCACCACTTCGAAAACGCCGAAACCACACTTTATATATGGTGCTCGACGAAGCATGATCACCGTAAATATCAACAAGCATTCGATGCGTTTCAACAGCACTTTTCTTCAGAATATAGTAATAGAGTAACACTTCCCGTAAATGCCGCTTCGTTGGAGTAAATGTTGCCATTTTCGACGCGAAAAAAAATTATGTTTACACTTCAAACGAATGTCTACTACTGCGATTCAAAGCTCATAAATATACCTTCAAAACACAAGTATAGCCGTTCCATCAAGCACGAAATTAGTACCACTAGCGATATTTTTCTGAAAAGGGCGGAGACTTATTTCCATACTCAATAATAATAATAATAATTAATAATTTTATTGTTTTTCCTTATTTATATATTTATGAAGCTTTACATTTCCTTATTTATACATTTATCAAGAAAAAAAATTATTCATATAATAATGTTATATATCAGGTGTAGTAAAAAGAAATCCATTATTTTTGCATGAAATTGAAGGCTTTAATTACCATAGTTAGAATGATCCGATTTAGGTCAAATATGCGCCGTTTTGTTCGATAACTTGTTGCCATTTTGAAGGTAATTTCATTATGCCTCTCTCATAGAAGCCCTCGTCCCTATTGGCAAAAAATTGAGACAGTCGATTTTCACAAGCCTCTCTTGAAGCGAATTTTTCACCAGCAAAATTGTTCGCCATGGACAGGAACAGATGGTAATCACTTGGTGCCAGGTCCGGACTATAAGGTGGATGCATAAGAACCTCCCAACCAAGCTCCCGGAGTTTCTGGCGAGTCACTATCGATGTGTGTGGCCTGGCGTTGTCCTGATGGAACACAATTCCTCTCCTATTGGCCAAAGTTGGCCGCTTCTGGGCGATTGCTTCCTTCAGACGGTCCAATTGTTGACAGTACAGTTCCGAGTTAAGAGTTTTGCCGTAGGGGAGCAGCTCATAGTAGATAATTCCCTGCCAATCCCACCAAACACACAGCAAAACCTTCCTGGCCGTCAATCCTGGCTTGGCCACCGTTTCCGCCGGCTCACCGCGATTCGACCACGACCGTTTTCGCTTGACGTTGTCGTAAATGATCCACTTTTCATCACCAGTGACTAACCGCTTCAGAAATGGGTCGATTTTGTTGCGATTCAGCAGCGATTCGCAGATGGAAATTCGGTCCATGAGGTTTTTTTGCGTTAACTCGTGTGGCACCCATACATCGAGCTTCTTTTTGTATCCAGTCTTATTCAAATGGTTCCAGACGGTTTGCTGTGCAATCTTTAGCTCTTGGGCAATCGAAACAGTGCTTACATGACGGTCGGACTCGACAATGTCCATGATTTTATCGATATTTTCGACAATTGGCCTTCCAGTGCGTGGTGCATCTTTGACATCGAAATTACCGGAACGGAATCGACGAAACCAAAATTGCGCGTGATTGGCTGTTACAGTATCAGGACCATAAACACTATTCACATTTTCAGCCGCCTAGCTTGCGTTTTCGCCTTTATCGAAGAAAAACTGTAAAATATAGCGTATTTTCTCTTTGCTAGTATCCATCTTTGACGCGCGCTCAAACAAAACTGAGTCAACTAATCACAAAACTGTCAACAAAGTTTTTTTAGTACGAAATCTCATCTTTCTAACGCCATCTAGTGGAACCCGATCGGACTTATACAACGCGAGATACAGATAACTAAAGCCATCTGTTGGAAAAATAATGGATTTCTTTTTACTACAACTGATAATATCCAAATATTGGTAACAAAAATATGGCAATAATAAAAGTAAATATTGATAAAAAGTAACAAATATGATTTAATAAGTATGACTGTTTTGAAAAAATTTTAAAAAGAGCTACAAGAATATGCAATAAAAAATAGAACGTTCTATTGAAAAAGAAAAAATTGACCTCTATATGATCTTGGCACGTACACCCAAATCAAATCAACGGCATCGTTTTATGTTCCTCTTGGTCATAAAATTTTTGTATAAAGCATTTTTTAATATAGCTAGGTTTTCGAAAAAAAATCAATGCATTACTTAAAATGACTTACACTATATGTATATAAAATTAACAGTCATGTTCGGCATGCATTCTGGCTGTAGTTTTTTGCTTCAAAATCGCTTACAAGAGAACGGTCAGGGGCGTCCCTCACCGATTTGAATGGACATTGAATATGTTGTAGAGGATCAAAAAATATTAGACACGTATTTTTTTATATGTACTTATCTCGAGGTTTAGGGGTTGAAATCACCCCTTGAAGAAAACGGATTTTTTCGTTTTTATCAAATATCTTCTAAAATATGAGAGATATGAAAACATAGTACAATAAATGTAAGAGTTTTACAGTATTTGATGCTCTTTGCACCTGTTAATTCAAATTCTTCAAAATATCAAATTTACACTCCCCGCTCCCCCCTCCACTCATTATTTTCGCAAATTTCAAAAATTTTGTAAGAACAAAAATTAAAGAGCATTGAATTCCGAATCCATCCATATATAATAATAATATGATTCCTCTATTCAATTTTTAGAAAAACAGTACGATGATATCGTGGTAGGCACTGCACTGTGCGAGTAGGTAGGTACTATTACGTGTCGTGTGTTCTTTCTCTTCAGTTGCGCTACGCTTAATAACTTTCTGTGCATAATTTATCCTCCTGCAAGATGAAAACGAATTAATTGTAATATTCCATATATTATACAAAAAAAAACAGTGAGTACAAATAAATGTGCATATGTAGCAACAGTAGCAAATGCGTGTGCAGCGTCGCTATTTATACAGAAATTTCCAATGTATATTTGTATATTTCTTGAAATAAGTATGTTTATTGTAATGGCAAGTCGACACACGATCAAGATGAATTAAAATAAAGTCATAATGCATGAAATAAGAAAACACAGATTCTATTACCTCTGCAAGAAAGAGCAAACGATATGAAAATATAACATAGCATTAACAATTGCTAAACAATATATAATGAAGAGCTTAATACTAATTACGGAATAATAATGTAGAAGAACAGGATAGAGGGGAATAATATATTGTGGATATACACAATAATAAATTGTGGAAGAATAATACTGGCAATAATATATATTTAACAATATATGTGATAAAGAAACAGTACACAATTTGCATATGAACACGCGCGCGAATAATGAATTTGTATTATTTTTATGGTACATATTCGTTGCAAAGGTGATGATTATGAAAAAAATGTGTTATACACAATGATTTTTTACACCAAAAACAAGTAATTATAGCAGTTTGGCCACAAATATCGCATTTTATGTTTAAATCACTTTAGAAGCAAAATTTAACCGGTATTTGAAACTCTGTTGATCTAGTCTATATATATCCACTTTTAAACCAGACATATTTAAATAAATTTAGAAATCTGGGCGACGAAAATTGATGATGCGTTAATGATTGCAATTTCAATATATTATTTCTAACATGAAGATCAATTGCAAGATTTAATAACATAAC